AAATTGGAGATAGGGAGTATCGATATCTTTCATGGAATTTGCTATAAAGAGAGAAATAGAACAGCAGGTTAGAGAGAGGGTCATGACATTGAGGAAATTTTGGTTTTTCTTTACTTTTTGTTCAGATTGGAGAAATAACCACATTTTTATGGTGATAATGGAGTATGAAAAATTGATGATGGGGTGAATGGTGGGGGGTAATTGCTAGTGTCAGCAAGCAGGGTTCAGGATTTAGCTGATAGGTCGGAGATTTGGTCTACTAACATGGATAGTTAATCCACAGTAACGAGAGAATCTAAAATACATGGGAAAAAATGTAGGTAAGGTGTAGGATGTGGTTGTGGGAGCTTGCCTAGTTCTCTTGTTATTGCTTCAATTCTTTCAGTGAAATTGGAAACAAGATTATCAGCTGAGAGTGACACTGGGTTGGAGGGTTGCTGGTTTGAAGGAAGAGGTGCCAAGTAGGAAATACTGGTCTAAGAGGGTGAGAGAAGGAACAGACTAAGAAAATACATTATTACTGCTCAGACACATTAAGAATCCAACTAAATTTAGTGGTGGTTAATTTAAACAACCATTATGGTTTTTATTTTTCTTCAGTCATATTTACCAGCATAGGTGTAGACACAGAGTTGTCAGTATGTTGACCCAGAGTAGTTGTTTTACCAGGTATGCTAAGTATGCTAACGCCTAAGGGAGAGCGGGCAAGGGGAAGATAAAAGCAAGGGATCATCTATAACGATTTGAAATTAAACTTTGTAAAGAGGGAAGAGAGCACATCAGAGTGGGGGACAATGAAAAGTTTATAGGATCAGTGAATTGTCTATGAGGAGGATTATTGAGTTTGGGTTATTTCATAAAATGAGTAAGCTGACAAGAATAAAGTGAGTTGTTAGTAAAATTCCCCCAGTTTGGTATATTTTTTTTGTTTTTTGTTATTAGAGTGCATGTAGTTTGCATGTTTGTATATAAAGTTTTCTGGCACCTTATATTTTCTTACCCAGTTATAAAAAGTAGAATTATTGTATTATAGGATGTTAGTATTTTTACGACTTTGATATGCACTTGGTAAATCTCTTAAAGATTATTTCCAGGGTATCTTATTTTTGCAGGGAATTTCTATTCCACTAACACCTTGGCTACATTAGGTGTTTCATTCTGGCTCTCAATCTTCATCTCATTTTCTTTTCTAATTAAGTAGGTCAAAAAAGTCCCCCTCCCCTTTTTAAGTGTATGTATCTATTGTGTTCTTTATGATTTTTACTTTAAAGTTTAGAAAACACTCTTTTAACTCACTCTGGCAAATATGAAAAAGATACTCAAAAATTAATGAGAAATCAGCTGAGTGATAGATTTTAGTCCTTAACTTTCCTATATGTCAGCAATAAACATTTATATCTTAGATATAAGAAATACATTAGGAAAAGAAATTCCACTTAAGAATAAAAGAATATCTAGGAACCACCTAAATGAAAAATAGGTCATCACTGAAACTCCTTGCATTAAGGCATTTAAAAAAGCTGTGTAAAAGGGAGAGACAGAAAGAACTTCATATTATATAAAGTTATGATATCCCCCCATCAAATAAACTTTAACAAATCCAGTCATTTAATTTCTTGGGTGTTTCCGGACCAATAAAAAAAAATCTAAAAAATACTTGTAAACAATAGATAAAAGTTAAAAAATAGTATTTGTGCCTGGCTTCAACAATATTATGAGCAATGTCTGTCATTAATCTAATTTTCGGTATTATGCTGCCTCATTTGTGGGAAAAAATTTATGCTATATCATTGTAGGTTTTATTACTCTAAGTTTCTATATGAGGAGATGGAGAGTCTAAGATGCTGAATAATGTGTACCAGTGTTAATTGTAGAGGGAGTATTTGAACCTAAACCTCCCTAATGTCAAAACCTACTTTCTTAACTAACTTAGGAAACTACTAGTTATGGTTTGAGGAGGATAAACAAAATAATAAGGATGGAAGAAGTTAGCTCCATGAGATGTTAGAGGGGATTACAAAGCTATAATTACCAAATTACAGTGGTGCTAGTGCAAAAAAAGAAACACTCGAAATTTAATAGGTAATTCTGAAAGAGTCTTTAATACTGATAAAGCCTATTGTATTTATCAATCTGTGATGAAATAGATGTCACATACATGAGGAACTGGTTTGTTTAAAAAGTGGTATTCAGACATTTGGGTATGATTTGGGTAGCTGTTTGGAGAAAAATAAATTTAGATTATTATTTATAGCAAAATTTCAGAAGATTTAAAACAATGGGAGGGAAACGCAGGTGAATGTTTTTAGTTCTAAATTTTATGATAGAAATCATGAGCATGATGATTTCTATTGTAACATTAACTTTATTCATTCAGCTGTCTCGTTGAATTTAACTTTTCTAAGTCTTTTAGGATAAACAAAATTTACTTATTTTTTTGATGAATATGTTGAGACCATTTTCAGAATCCCATTTATTTCTTTGGATTTGCAGACTTGAAAAGCATTTAATAATTGCTTATTTGTCTAACCTACTGTGCTGAATATAATATGAATAGCTAAGAAATGAAAAGCACCTTCTCCTCAGGCTATTTTGTAGCATGAAATTTACATAAAGTAATAATGATTTCAAATCATCTAAATCTGCTCTAATGGATAAAGCAAGAATATCTAATTTGCAGATCTTTTATCATAATGTATAAGGTTAACTTATGCTTGAGAGAGAGACAGAGCATGAGCAGAGGAAGGGCAGAGAGAGACAGAGGCACAGAAACCCAAGCAGGCTTCAGGCTCTGAGCTGTCAGCACAAAGCTTGATGCACGGTTCGAACTCATGAACTTTGAGATTATGACCTGAGCCGAAGTCAGATGCTTAACTGACTGAGCCATCCAGGCACCCCTAATTTGCAAATCTTTGTAATAACTCTAAGATTTGTATGTTCCAATTTTTTGTCGCCTTAATAAGATACAATAATTTATAGAGTATTTCTTGGGTCTGAGACTTTATTGGTTATATAAACTATATTTTAGCCTTTACTGGACAAATAATAGATTGAGTTAATAGAAGAGGTTTTTTTTTAAAAGCAGGAATTTAGAGGATGGTAGGATTGGAAGAAGGCTAGATTGAGTTCTGGAGTAAATTTGTGCAAAAGGTAAGGGGAATTTGAAATAATGATGGCAAAATAAAGAGATCAAGGATTCTTTTTTTTTTTTTTTTTAAGATTAGAATTGATCATTTATTCGTTAATGAATATAGTCAAAGCTATTTGACATGTAAAATGTATCTATCTCCATACACGTATTTATGCATATAAATACATGCTATACATACATATTATTTGAACTTAAAAGGCATGCACATATGTTTGCCAATCTTTTGATGTAGGTCAAAGGCCTTTTCTTTAATATTTGGTTGGCTGGTTGGAATCCTGATGGTCTTTATTCCAGGAAGCACCACCATAGAGCATTTTCTTTCTTTATTTTATTTATTTTTTTTTTTTACAAATAGTTTATTGTCAAATTAGTTTCTACATAACACTCAGTGCTCATCCCCAAAGTGCCCTCCTTCATGCCCATCCCCCCCCCCCCCATCAGTCCTCAGTTTTTGTCAGCATTCAAGAGTCTCTCATGGTTTGCCTCTCTCCCTTTCCCCCACCATTTCCGCCCTTCTTCTCCCCCTTGGTCCTCCGTCAAGTTCCTCCACATCCTCCTATACGTGCAAACATATGATATTTGTCCTTCTCTGCCTGACTTATTTCGCTCAGCATAACACCCTCAAGGTCCATCCATGTTGCTACACATGGCCAGATTTCATTGTTTCTCATTGCCATGTAGTATTCCATGGTATAGATAAACCACATCTTCTTGATCCATTCGTCTGTTGATGGACACTTAGGCTCTTTCCATGTTTTAGCTATTGTGGAGAGTGCTGCTATGAACATTGGGGTACATGTGCTCCTATGCCTCAGCATTTCTGTATCCCTTGGGTAAATTCCTAGCAGTGCTATTGCTGGGTCATAAGGGAGTTCTATTGTTAGTTTCCTGAGGAAAAGAGATCAAGGATTCTAAAACGAAGCGATAACTTGTATCAGGATTCATATGAAATTATATTAGTGGAATGTGTAAAAAGGAGACAATTTTTTAAATGTAGTATATTTTAGTTTTTGTTAATAGCAGTAATTTGATAGGGGCTTGGGAGTCAGGCAGTTAGTGGTTAGGTCAAGATTTTTTTTAAAATCTGGTTTTAGTTTTTGAACTATGAGGAAATGCCAGTAATTAGAGCTTTTTGTTTTTAAGTTGATTTTTAAAATTTTTATTCTTAAGTAGACTCCATGCCCAATGTGGAGCTTGAACTCACCACCCTTAGATCCAGAGTTGCATGCTCTATTGACTGAGCTAGCCAGGTGCCTCCAATTTTTTTTTAAGTTCAAAACAACTTAGAAGTAATTAATATGATGAAAACAACTCATTTGTTATATTTTCAGAATGTAAGAAATTTTGCAATTTGGCATATACAGGGCATAAATGAAGGCTGATGTAGTTCTAAACTGACAATTTGGTATTATCCTGTAAGCTGCATTTTTCACATTTCTTATTTGTTTATTTGGTAAACATTTGAATACTGTTTGTGTAGATAGTCTTTGTAGGAGGTAAATAAGTTAGAATCTTTTCTAATAGGAATGTTAAGACATAAAATGTTGATTATGAGTCATAATGGGTACTTTAAAGAAAGGTGTTATGTATTGTAGCTTATATTTAAAATTCAGTGACAGCTGGAGTGATAAATGTGGTTATTTTCTTAGCCATGTGTTTTCTACCCTGAACCTGTAAGAATTTGACAGATAATGTAACCATTTCTTAGACTTTTCCTATTTATAAAAGGGTACATTTTGAGGACTAAGATTTAGGTATCTTTTAGTCTCAGGAATGTTTGCAAACAAACTTTTGTTGTTTCTTTTTTTCTTTCTTTCTTTTCTTTTCTTTTTTTTTTTTTTTTTTACAGAGGTTACGCACAGAAAATAGACTTTTAAAACAGCGCATTGAAACATTAGAAAAAGTAAGTATACTTCTGTATGCAAGCTTCTGTTGTATGCACAGTATTACTTTCTATTTTAAATAAAGGCACAAGAAATCTATCACATGTCTCCAAAGTTGTGATATGGGCTGCTTAGCTTGCCTAGCTTACTATTTTACTAAGTAACTTGTTATTAATAAATATTGATCACTACAAGTCCTTTAGCTTTAAGGTTAAAAATTTTAACTGAGGTTATTATTAGAGTAACATTGATTCCATTTGTTTTCTTTACATACAATCTCTAAAAACTATGGTCTTTAGACGTAGCCTAATTGAGAATCCATTCTGAATAGCATTTTAAGAATGGCTTTTAAATGTTGCCCTGACTCTCTAGCCATATATTAAATGTGTCAGTGATTCCTTTAATAACTAGGATGCCTTGAAGTTTAGTCAAAATGACTGGTTGCTCATATAAAAATTCACCATGGTGTTGATTTTCAACATAGGGGAATTGTGCTTAAACTTTTGGTTCTTAAACTTACTTTGATACTACTTTTTACCTCTTTCTTCCTTTCTGTTTCATATAAAATAACTGGGAAAACGTGGAAAGTTTAACATTTTTAATATTGTGCTTTTAACGTAATGTCTATTGTAGTATTCTTTTAAGTATTAAATAAGTACAGTCTAAGAGGTTTGGTTTATCAAAAAAACTGAATTCATAGTCTTTTGGTGTTTGGTGAGGCTTTTTTTTTTATTTTAATGGAAGATGAGAGTAAGTAGGTTTATAAATGATACTGGAGTATCTTAAAATCTTCCCTGAAAATCTACAGATTGATACTCAAGGAAGAAAACACGAAGATGTGGATAGTTCGGATATTTGTCTTTTGTTTAAAGGCATTGATAGTTTAGTAAATACTGCCACTTACAAGGATAAGGATGTTTATTACATGTCTTTTCGTTGTATGATAATTTCAAGTACATTATATTAAGTCGAAAATAGTTTTCCTGTATTTCCTTCATCTTATTAGAGTTGTTTTGAGGATAATTCTATTTTTTTGGTGACTCCACAAAAAAGTTGAGCCTAATTTAGTTTTTAAGTCATTTTAATTGTATACTGTGTTTTCCATTAAATACTCAGTTTATACTAAAATATATATGTCTTCCTAGGTGGTCTTTTATTTTGATGTGAGATATTTTCACAGAGAAAGTATTTTTATTTTATTGAACCTTCAGAAAGGTAAAGGTGCTATAGGAAAGTATTAAGTTTGGATTTTACTTTAGAAAATTAAGTAACTTTCTACTGGCTTACATGGCCTGGGTGTGTCCTTTAGCACTTGTAATTCAGTAAGTACTTAGGTATCAGTTAAATTCTATAACCCAAATGTTTACTTTCTCAGTTATTGCTAGAGTTTATTAAGTTGAGCTCATTAATTTCATTTGTCATATTTTCCTTGCTTTACTTCTTTGGAAGTTGCTGTTGTACAAATTGCTGTCACACACTTTATAAGTGGAATTGCTTACTCAAATTCCTTCTCCCTTTCCTCTAAATGGTTTGCCGATATGGCTGATTCCAAACATAAAGGCTTAAAAAGTATGCTTTAAAAAGCTATTTGCTTGTCTCAAATGATGAAAAACCTCTTGGCAGTTGTGCTGGTCTTCTAGAAGCATATGGTTTTCTATAGTCTATCCTCATTTTGATATATTTTTCTTAAGAGTTAAGAATAATAACACATTTTTAGCACACAAAGCTAAAAATTAGCTTTAATGTCAAATCTAAATGTTCATTTTAATTACAATGAAAAGTAGATGGAATTTGGGTATGCTTTATTTCTTCTTATTCCTAATTTTATGCACCTTTATTTTATTTCTTTCTCTTAAATTTCTATCTGAATTTTTCCTTTTGTAGGAAAGTGCTTCCTTGGCAGATAGATTGATACAGGTATAGTTTTTTTCATTTAGCATTTTCTCTAACTTTACCTCTGAGGACAGCCCTAAACTTAGAAAATCACATTTTAATGCATGCAATTTTACATGCATTTTCCTAGCAATAATTTTTTGGGGGTGGTATATATATGTATACACTTAATTTTTGATAACAGTCTGTTATCTTGGTTTATTAGATACCTTTTGCACGTTTTAAAGCTAACCTTATTTTAAAGTATTTATTCCAAAAAGGTAATCAGTGGAGTCTGTGAAATTAACTACTATTCATTGAAAATTTTAGTTCTGCATGTGCAACTCAGTAATATTGCATGAATTGAATTTTTATTGACTGAAAGAATTGTTCTTAAGATTATCAGATGAATTTTCTTACTTAGTTTCCCAAAATTTCCTGGAGTGATAATGAGCTGCTAGTTAATAATAACAATAATAATACTCACCTCTGTTCTCTGAGGTGATTTTTTTTTTAAACATGTCACAGTAAATAACTAAACCTCACAAAGGCAGTCTTTCTTGAATCTGTCCTAAATTGCTTTACACACACACAAATTATGTCCTAAGGGACAAGTGACAAGAGCCCAGGAGGCTGAGGAAAACTACCTCATAAAACGGGAGTTGGCCACCATCAAACAGCAGAGTGATGAGGCCAGTGCTAAACTGGAGCAAGCTGAAAATACCATCAGGAAGCTCCAGCACCAACAACAATGGGTAAGGAGTCTGGTAGTGCTTTTTCTCACCTTTCTCTTCCCCTTCCCTTTAAACTTTTTTTTTTTTTTTTAAGCACAACTTCTGTGATCCTGTTTGAACTAATTTTGTTTTCTACTTTAACTGAATTCTTAATCATTTTTATATTCTGTAATACTTAAGGGTCTTATTGTGGTCTAAAGACTCTTCATTCTAACATTCTTTTTCTGTCTGCACTGTTTTGTTAGAAATAGGTAATATTTTTGTTTCTTATATTTTAAATCACAGAAAATAAGTGATGTTTGTCAGACCTGCTTTTTAGTTTTTAGAAATCAATTCATATTGGTATTTTGCCACAGGAAGTTTTTGATTCTTAACTCCACCTAGTTCTTGTTAATTGTGCAAATGAAATATCACCCAACAGGGAGAGTATATGTAATTGTCTCATTTAAAGTTTTGATAATGTGGGGATTTCTGTCTTGTGAAAAACTATAGCCTTAACCTCCTACATCAAGGCCTCAAATTAGGAGTTAAGGTATATGCTTACGTTTTTTCAAGAGGAGAGAAACATCAAAGTAAGAAAAAAGGATTAAAAATATGTTAACTAATTTAGGGTATATATACTAAGCAGCTACTGATTGTACAGCTATTCTCAGATATCTTTTGCAACTTAGACATCATTTTCCATTGGCAAATTCAGATTAGTATGATCTTAAGGATATGAGGGCTAAAAAGAAAAGCCAACTATTTATTTTTGAAAAGATACTATTGTTTCAGTTTTCTGTTCTTAGATGGGAGTCAGATTGTAACAGGAGTGGGCAGAAAAAGTTGCATTAAATCTAAAATTCTACATGGGTCTGGGTAGAAAAAGTTGTGTTAAATCTAGAACTTTGTATGGATCTGGAAGGCAAAAACAAGGACTTGAAAGTTGGACATTACTTTTATTCAATAAAATTAAGAAACACAATCATAAACTGGCTACAAATGTCAGAAAACTAAAAGCAAAAAGAAGTCATAGGCATTTGAAAAAACCATAACATAAAATTATTTTTTCTGTTACATTAATGAAGATGGTTAAGAGAAATGAATAGAAGGGCACCTGGGTGGCTTAGTCGGTTAAGCGTCCGACTTTTGCTTAGGTCATGATCTCGCGGTTCGTGGGTTCGAGCCCCGCGTCGGGCTCTGTGCTGCCTGCCAGCTCAGAGCCTGGAGCCTGTTTCAGTCTGTGACTCCCTCTCTCTCTGACCCTCCCCTGCTCACGCTGTCTCTCTCTCTCCTAGAAATAAATATAAATATTTAAAAATTTAAAAAAAAGAGAAATGAATAGAAAAATGGTAAAAGGATACTAAAAAGTTGGGAACTCCGATAGTTCTGCCTTTGTATGAAATGTCAATATCAAAGCATTAAAATAGAAAAAACAGAATTGAAGTTTCCTTTTGGGGATTAAGTTGAACTCAGTTATTAGTGTAATGTGATTTTATTATAAGAAAAGATAATAAGTTTTATGTTTGCATTTAGCATAAGCTGCAGTTGCAAAAAATTAGAATCATGGATTACTACTTTTTTTGCATAGGTCTTCAAATATTGAGACTTACAAGACATAAAAATAAGAATGTTGGTTTATAATGAAAAAAGTAAAATAGATGATCAAAAATGGCCAGAATGAACTGAAGCTTTTGAAAATGCAACATAAGAATCTTTTTGCTGTTTCAAAGACAAAATCGACTCACATTGTGATACTAAAATATAACAAGTAGAAAGCAGACTTCTATTTTGATTTTGTTTCCATTTTTTTCTCATTTGTCAGATATTCTTCTAAACCAGAAATAAAATGTAAAACAGGGCACCTGGGTGGGTCAGTTGGTTGAGTGTCCAACTTGATTTGATTCAGGTCATGATCCCAGGGTCATGGCATCGAGACCTGAGTCAGGTTCTGCATTGAGCACGGAGCCTGCTTAAGATTCTTTTCTCTCAGGCCCTTTCCTCCATTCTTTTAATCTCTCTCTCTCTCTCTCAAAAAAAAAAAAAAAGTAAAACAGACCTATAAAACAGTGATCCACAAAACAGGTGAAACAGAGCCTTGATTAAATTTCCAACTTCAAAGCAGAGTGCATATCCCTAGATATAAAAATACTTTGCAAAATGATCATAAGAATATTATTTTCTTTAAAGGATTTTAGAAAGTAAGATATACTAATGGCTTTGAGGTAGGCAAAATATAGTTCTTACATTTAGTAATAATGGCTAGATACCTTAAAAGAAAATCAGTGACTTTGATGATGCTTCATTAAAAATACCTAGACATCTAGTTTGTGAACAATTAGAAAAATAACTTTTATTCACTAAAAGGGAATTTACTATGTTTAAGTCATAACAAACTAAACCTTGTTTCTGCAGTAAACAAAGACGGTGTCTTACGTGCAGTTTTAAGTTATTTGAGGACACCTGGGTGGCTCAGTTGGTTAAGCATCCAACTTTGGCTCAGGTTCCTGGATTTGAGCCTGAGTCAGACTCTGTGCTGACAGCTCAGAGCCTGCAGCCTGGTTGGGATCATCTTGTCTTTCTTTCTGCCCGTCACCCCTTCTTAAAAATAAATAAAAACATTAAGAAGTTATTTGGTAGGGTATTCCCATGGTATCTTTCTAGTCAAGAGAGAGAAATTTAGATAAAATAGTAAACTTAAGTGGTTTTCTAGGTGATTAACCATATCAAGAGGTTATTCATGTTGAAGCTAAGAGATGTCAGAGATCTTTGTCTCCTAAATTGATGCTTTATTTTATTTTATTTTATTTATTTACAAGTTTATTTATTTTGAGAGAGACAGAGACAGTGTGAATAGGGAAGGGGCAGACAGAGGAGGGGAAGAGAAAGAATCCCAAGCAGGCTCCACACTTCCCGTGGAGAGCCCGATGCGGGGCTTGAACCTACAAAGCCATGAGAGAACATGACCTGATCCAAAACTAAAAGTTGGACACTTAACCAACTGAGCCACCCAGACGACCCATGCTTCAAGTATTTTAATCTGTTACCTAAGTCCTTATATACAAAATATGTTTAAGAATTTTATACATGAAATATTTCAGAAATGTTGCCTGTATGTTGTACAATCAATCATTATACCGAAATATTTAAAGTATATTCAGAATAAGAAACTAAAAGTGTATTTTACAGAAATCTATAGCCTTGCCCTTAAGTTTAAAATTCAGAGAGAAGTCTTAGTAATACTTTATATAACAAAGACTTAGAAATTTTAATTGACAGGAAATTGGGAATTAGCAAGTAATGTAATATGATTTACCCCTTGCCCCATCCCAAGTAGTCTTCTTAGAAATATAATGATCCAATATAATTCTAAGAAGCATGCAGAAAATTTGTAGTGTTGTGTCTAGTTTGAATATGGAAACTTGTGTGAAGTGTCTACATATTGTATTATAGCCAGTGTAGGAAAGACTGTGGCAGCTTGGAATATTTTTAGACTTCATTAAAGAAGACCTAAATAACATTATAGATGTAGTCATTTAAAAGTATCTGAGGGGTGCCTGAGTGGCACAACTGGCTCAGGTCATGGTCTCATGATTTGTGGGTTCAAGTCCTGCATTGGACTTCCTGCAGTCAGCACAGAGCCCACTTTGGATCCTCTGTTTCCCCATCTCTCTGCCCCTCCTCTGCTTGTTCGCTCTGTCTTAAAAATAAATAAACACTAAAAAAAAAAAATAAAGTACTGGGGCACATAGTGGCTCACTTGGTTAAGTGACTCTTGGTTTTGGCCTCATGATGTCACACTCTGAGCCCTGTGTCCAGCTCTGCCCTGACAGCTGCAGAACCTGCTTGGGATTCTTTCTCTTCCTCTCACTTGGCTCCGCCCCCCGCCCCCCCCCTGCGTCTCTCAAAATAAATAAGTAAACATTATAAAAAAAAGTATTTGAGAGGTGATCTTAAAGAAGAGTGATTAACCTTTTTTGATACTGTTTCAGAGGGCAGAATGTGTTCAATAAGATCCAAGGATATAAAAATTTACTCATTGGAATTTTGACAAATGGAGTACTTGCTTTGCAAAGTAGTAGTGAGTATACTACTGGCAGAAAGTGAACATGTATTGTCACATGTTTTGATCACATCCTTCCAATATAACTTAATGAATTCTTCAAAACTTAGAATAGAGGTTTCAAATCTCTCTTCCAGCAGGAGGTATTGAATCAATATAATCAACCACCACCATCACTCTCTAATGTCAGTAATGTCATTTTATTGATACAAAGAGCTTTGGATTTCATTTATGGGACTGAATTCTAGTCCTGTTATGCTAATTATGTGGCTTTTGGTATTCAAGGACTCAATTTCTTTTTTCTCTAAAATGATTACATAGGGTCAGACCATCTCAAGTCTAACTTTTTTTGTTAAGTGTGTTTATTTATCATGTGCATGTATGAGCTAGGGAGAGACAGAGAAGGTGAGAGAGAGAATCCCAAGCAGGCTCCATGCTGTTAGTGTGGAGCCCTACATGGGGCTCAATCCCAAGAACTGTCAGATCATGGCTGGAGCTGAAACCAAGAGTCGGACAGTTAACCAGCTGAACCACCCAGGTGCCCCTCACTTTTTAACTTAAAAAAATTTTTGTTTTTTCATGTTTATTTTTGAGAAAGTGAGGAGAGAGCACAAGTAGGAGGGGGGACAGAGAGATACACACACAGAATCCAATGGAGGCTCCAGGCTCTGAACTGTCAGCACAGAGCCCAGTGTGGGGTTTGAACCCATGAACTGTGAGATCATGACCTAAGCCAAAGTCAGATGCTTAACTGACTTGAGCTACCTAGGCGCCCCTCTCTAACTTTTTAAATGAACCTTATTGAAGTATACTTTACATGCAATAAAATCATCAAATTTAATTGTATAGTTTGATGTATTTTGACAAATGTATTTAGTTGTATAACGACCACCACAGTTAAAATACAGAATTTCTATCACCCCCAAATTTCCCTCATGTCCCTTTGCAGTTCACCTCTCCACCTAAAGCAACTGTTCTG